GGGGGCGACGTTTTCGAGAGTGCTGAGCTGTCTGGGAGCACGAGCACCCCCACAAATAGGGCAGATGATTGGTGCAATGGAGCAATGAAAGCTTTTTCAGCGGGGGAAGATGCGGGAACTGGGGATGCCCCTGGTAAAAGCTCCTCGTGCGCATGGTCCCCCAGCCTTGTCTCGGGGGGGAATCGCCATCAGTCACCTGAAACGATGGGTTGGATAGTCAGTCTGAGCTGTCTGGGAGCACGAGCACCCCCACAAATAGGGCAGATGATTGGTGCAATGGAGCAATGAAAGCTTTTTCAGCGGGGGAAGATGCGGGAACTGGGGATGCCCCTGGTAAAAGCTCCTCGTGCGCATGGTCCCCCAGCCTTGTCTCGGGGGGGAATCGCCATCAGTCACCTGAAACGATGGGTTGGATAGTCAGTGAGAAACGCCTCTTGTGACATTGCTAAGGAAAGGAGCGCTGGAAGGGCACGGGATAATAGGAGGGATCCAGAGGAGTTGCCGGGGGAGGAGAAAAAGGATAGAGGGAATTTCAGAAACAAAATATAAAATTAATATTTTTCCAAAAACTGCCTGGCAATAGGAGAAAAATCACTTTCGTGGCAGAGAGCCAAGAGCATGCAATGTGTCCTTGCATGTATGCCTATACTCAACGGCATAGCAGCAAAGCAAAGCCCATAGACGTGTGCTATGAACGTGTAAAACCTGCAGAAGGAAACCCCCCTTAGCCATGCCCGACTCAGCCCAGCAGCCCACGCTCGGGGACCCAGCCTGCGGGGCCAAAGTCTCTCCTCTTTAAACCTGCTGTTAAGAAAATGTATCTGGAGGAAGCATTGGCTATAGCAAAAACCATTTCCTATACCTTGTAGAGAACTTGCCAGTATACGAAGGAGGAGACGGGTGATTTCCAGAGTTTCTCCATCTGGAATATGAACTGGACGGATTGTTCACAGAGGAGGACATACGCTCTCAATTCGTAGCTGCTACCAGTTACTTGATCATACTTTTAACTCTGGTATTCACCCAGCTGGCTGAACAATTTGTGTTTCACATGTTTGCTAGCTATATATCACAAAATTCACACAATACTTTAGCAATGAACAAAGCTTTCTTTCCCATAATGTGACCTCTTCAGTTTGGGGCTAACTTTGAGAAAACAGAAATTGTTAATTTGGGAACAGATATTACAGTGGAAGAAAACCAAAAGAGAGCAGGGATGTGGAAGCACAGTTATCCCTAACCATAATAAAAAGACAGCACGTGTGGAAAGGTCAGATCCTCAATCAGATTTTAACTTCCAACCTGCTCAGAGTATCCCAAGTAACTTCTCCAGCACGGTGCCTGGGCTTTGGCTCTGCATGAGCAAAAGTGGCTTCTGCAATTCAGTGATAGTCCAGAAATGAGCAGAAAAGGGAATCCTCAAAATCACTTTAATTGGGGTATTTGTTGTTGCTGAGGGCACCATTTTGTGAAGCTTCATCCCATATATGCTTGCTAATAAAAATTTAAATGTTAAAAAACAAACAACAACAAAAAAAACCCCCACAGTGGATGTTTTGGAGAAGTTCCTGTTCTTGGGCAGGTAACTACCATGTCTTGTTTATATACATTTCCAAATGTTACCTAATTAAGCCAATCCCAAAAAATCAGGAAAGCTAATCAGTTTTCAGATAAAACAGTCCCTCAGCATCCTTGTTAGATTGCCAGCGGTGACAGCTGATGGAGAGAGCGTTGCTTGTCTGGCTGTTCCTTCCCTTGTTACTGTACATGATGATGGCGTAGCGCATTACTGCAAAGGGAGCTGCACTTCAAGTGGAAAAGCAGTTTTGCTTGCCAGACTGCTGATGCAATGGCTTTCGCAGCCGTGCGTCTTCTTACCACCCCCGAGGAGGGAGGTCCTGAAAAACAAGACGGGGGAAGAGGGATGTAAAACAGATGTTGCTGCGTTGACACCTGCTTGCAACAACTCACATTCTGTAAGGTCCCACCGCGGTGGTTTTGGGTCCTGGGCTTGGACCTGCTGCTCTCCCCAGGGCTCCCCCTGCGCTGCCGTGTTTTTGGGGCGATGCATGTAAACGTGTTTATGCAATGCTACTGATCTGCTGTTTCTCCTGCCGTGTGTGCTCCTGTAACCCTTCCTTTCCTTTCCACCCTGCAGGACTTCTCACATATTTCGTCTGAGTTTCAAAACAGTGTTGGACCCCGTTCGCCTGGTGCATCAAACCCTCCAGGGAGCACCGAGTGGGACAACGACTACCCCAGCAGAGAGTGCGGGATTAACCACTGCAGGCCAGTAGACGAAATAGGACATTGCTAGTGCACTTTGTATTATCTGAACTGTGACAGTGTACAACAGCTGAGAATCTGCCCTAAAACGTACAGCAAGTTGGTGGGCTAATTATGGTCAATGAAGTTCAAGGTTTCCTCTTCTCTGTAGGCTCACTGAAGTGATGGTATGGAAGCAGGTAGCTTAAAAATCACAGATAAAGTCTTCACTGGGCACAAAGAGGTTTCCCTTAATTTGTGTTTCCATCCCATTAGCGATGGATGAGTTTGGGTGTTTCCTTCTAGAGCAGGCCAGGGAAGCCCAGCCTCTCAAGCAGAGTCCCCAGAGGTTTGAAGGTGGCCACTTCCATAAGCAATGTCCTTCTGTTCCTGAAGTGATGGCTCTTATCGCTGAGGCCACAACCTCCCATAGTTGTCTCTAGCAACGGGTCCCTTATCGGTCCTGGGGTTTCACCATTCGGGGTACAAAACCTCATCCTCCCGAGGGCTTTGGTGCCCTGCACCTTGCAGGAAAAGACCACGGAGACCTGCACAGATCTTCCCCCTTATGCCCTACGAGCTCTGGTATGACTGTGCCAGCACAGAGGTCCCTTCAAAGCTGCTTGAATTCCCCAGTAAACAGAGACATCAGGATAGTCTCAAAGCTGGGCAACAGGGAGGGTGTGCAAGCCATTCCCAGCCTCTGCCTAACCCACAGCTCTTGGCTCAGCAGCAAGAGTTTGGAGACTGCTATTGTGCTTGTAGAACAGGCACGTGGTTTGCTGGGGGAGCGGGTAGGGAAGGAGCCATGGCCGCTTCTGAGTATTGTTTGATTTGCTTGAAGTACTGGAACATAGCGCTTTCACTGGAGATAATAGCAAGCGCCCAGCCTTTTCAGAGCACAGCTCCCGCCTGTGCCAGCAGTGCACTTACAATTGCTGGGCACAGACTGTACAGACATTTATTTCTTTCAGGGAAATAAATAACTTGCTGAGCCATTAGAATATCGCTGCTGTCTGCCTGCCTGAGGGTGCTCAGCTACATGGATTGTTCTGGGCTCTGCCAGCGACCTTTGTGTGGTCCTTCCTGAAGTCTCTGCAGACAACCCAAAGATGGAACGTCTTTGGGACTTGATGATAAAAGTCATTTTAGATGCCCCGGGTAAAACGCTAAAGCCACTTGGAAGTTTATGGCACATGGATCCCAATTTCCAAAGGTGCTGAGCAGAGGCAGCTCCCACAAAAGTTAGCCCCCCAAAACTAAGCATTGCTGCTTAGAGGATCAGCAGGGAAAACCCTTGATTCGCTCTGCCAATCCCACTGCAGAAAACTTGGGGCACTCTAGAAACAAGTGAAACGCTCCCGTAGCAGGCAGGATTGACTTTTGTGTTGCTAAAACAAGCTCTGTGGCATCTGTCTGGAGTGCCGTATTGTAGGCAAAGGGCCCATGCAATTCATGATCAAAGCTCATGCATTTCATGCCTTTGTCACAGCAGAAATATCGAATTTCATGGGTTTATCGCAGCTTCCTGGAAAAAAAAATCATTTTAAAACCAGACAGATTATGCAGAGACTTCCAGATAATTATTAGAGTAGATTATAGCAATGAACTCAGATGGATATGGATCAGTACTGCAGAGAGTGCTCAGTGCACCGAAAAATGTCGTAGTTTCTGTTAAGGAAGGAGCCCATCTCCCCAGCCTAGAGACACACGAGCTGCTGGCAGCCCAGCTCCCAAACCTGGCTCGTTGTCATTTTACTGTAAAGCCTGGTGCGTCAGCGGTGCCCTCACCTCCTGCTCCTGCCAGCCCCTGGTTTTTGCTGCCTAAGTGTGTGCTCTGCGTTGCTTCTAGCATCCACAGCCGTTCAGACTGCAGCCCCCGTGTGTCTCGAGGTTACGCCTGTGTCCAGAAGAGAGACGATCTGGTTCTCATCATCTTCCTGTCTGTAGCACTTTCTCCAAAGTGTTTTGCACTAATTTGCAGCCGCTGTTCAAAGTTGCCCTCGGGCTCCTCCGTGGCACCTTGCCGCGGGCTGGGCGTGAGGGTGCAGGGTGAGCGGTGTGCCTGAACGGCCCCGGCTATCAGCAGGGCTGAGGCAAAGCAGCGATGAAGGGAAGGCAGATCTCCTTGGGTTTGATTCATCAGCGCGGTTTTAGGTATAATCGGGAAGTCTCTGGATCATGTAATTGCCCATTTCAACCTCAAAACTGCATTCAGCTTAATTGCAATTAAAGCAGCACTCTGAGGAACAAAATCAGCAACTGTCTGGAAAGAAAAAGGATTATTTTCTGTTGTGATGTGGCTCAGCTGTAGAGTCCCAGATTCCTGAAGGAGAGGATCGTACCGACCTCCCCAGCACACAGGCAGTCCTGTCTTGCTCTCTGGGGTAGGATTTTTATTTCACGTCTGACTTCGATATTTCTTTAGCTTCCAACGTGTCTTGGCACTGGGTTAGCTGGGGTAAAGCCTCCCCATCCTACATTTTCTTTTGTGTTTGTCATCCAGGCACCTTCTGAAAAACTAACAGGGTTGTCTTTCTGTCCTTCCCCATCTAATAAGGGAACTGCTGTAGGGTTTGGGGGTTTTCCTCAGCCTGTTAGTGCTAGTGAAAATGCCATTAAATGACATTTCTTCCCTTATGCCCCTCAAATTCTAGGATCCTGTGAGCAGACACTCCTTGGTTCATAAATCAGCCATGTTAGAGAGAGAGTTTTAAATGTTTCTTAGCCCATCCTCTCCCCATTCTTAATGACTTTCTGCTTGCTGACTTCCATCCAATTTTCCTAGCTCTTTCTGGGCTTAAGCCCAAGCTGTCCTAGATCGCTAGCAAAGACGGGTAGCGTTTCTCAGTTCCTGCTTAGTGTATGACTATCACTTCCCACAAGCAATTGTAGCATACGATTTTATTGCTTTTTGCCATCATATCACAAACTACTTATGTAGTGCCCTGTCTCCCTCACCTGACAGCCTTATTCTCACGCTTGCTCTTTCCCACTGAATGCCCGTGGTTTGCAGTGACTTTCTCCAAGGGAACTAGCTTACCTGTATCAAGGGTGCAGCTTGGTTTCCAATCACTTGCAAGTCTTTCTTAATTCCTCAAAGCACCTCACTCATTTTTTCTGCCCTGTCTTCTGATTACAACTCTTTCCATACCAAAGCTGTCCTCAGGGTTTCGGTTAGATTTGCCTCCTAGCTTTTAGGTATTTTGGTGATAGCACTGAACGGCATTCATCTTTCTATGTTCTTCCACGCTGTTGCAAGGCACGGACTAGGTTCTTTTTGGGTACCATCATCCAGCAACTTTTCTCCCCTCTTCTCACTCTCCTTTGGGCTAAAAGACGGGATGCTCTCAGTTACGCCTTGTCCAGACACACAAAACCGTGTACAGCCACTTCATCCGGATGCTTACAACCTCGCTAATTCCTGCTAACAATCAAGTGATCCTCTCCAAATGGGGGAATTTTCCAAATCAGAAACTAAACGAGCAAACACTGTAAAAAGGCAAGGATAAACCATCACAAATGCACTTAGTTTGGATTCAATTATTTATGGTAATACTTTGTAATGAACTAGGAAATGTTCCGTAGCATATTTTGTAAAATTAATGAAGTTTTAGTACTGGAATACCTCACTGCTGCTCAGTGGCATTAAATCTTTGCTGAGTGCAGTAGGGAAGACTGCATTTTAAATGCAGATTATAAAATGTGGAGATTAACAAAGCGCAGACTCTTCTGTGCTCTATCAGAAGACAGCTCTATCACAACAGCATTACCTTGCTGTCTGCTATTGCCCTATCATTCCACTCATAAGCACACCCACACTGGAATCTCCCAAAGCTTTGTAATATTCTTCACCACCTTTTAAGGCCGAGATGTCTTTATGGAGCCAATGATGTTTCCATCAGGTCTGCGTAGATGATAAAACCCATTAAAACGCCTGGATTTCAGAGCAAAACCCACATAGGATGTCAGCCAAGGGAGAAGGACGTCAGCCGCTCCTCTCTCTACTATGTCCTGAAAATAAGAGCATCTGGGCTCCCTCGTAGGACGCTGCTGATGGCGAATTAAAAGTGCCAGCCTGCCCACAGGGAGGGTTGAAGCACCAGGTACTACGGGCAGGGTTGGGAGCAGTGGTGCCTATCCGCACACCTTGCTGTAGAGCCATCCGCACGCAGGGCTTCTCAGTGGTGTAAGCTGGCCTCCCTCTCCAGGACACACCTGGATCTCTGGAAATTAAAGTCATTGCTTTAATCATGATTGATTCATGATCTGGTGGGCCAGGGACATGCAGAGCACACGGCTTGGCTGCTGTCCCACCAGCCCTCCTTCACAGCATCATGTGAGTAAGGCGGTGCTGCAGTCTTCTTGGGTTCCTTGTACCTCCTGATTTCTTCGTCAGACCCACAAGACAGACCGGCTAATCCTGCTGTCTCCAAGCATTTTGTCCCCTCACTTCCTGATTATTAGTTTATCTAGTTGTACTTATTTTGGGAGAGGAGGAGTGAGGCATCGAGCAGGTGGTGTCTTCTGCTCCTATGCTCTTCACCATCAACCTTATGTCAATTCTTCTGGACACCCGCCAGCATGTTCAGGCATAAACCCCTCAATCATATTTTTGAGACCCCTACTCATTATACAGTGTCAGAATGACACATTTTACCCAAAAATGAGTGTACATTATCTGATTCTCCATGGCTCAGCCTAAGGACAGTGTGTGATGAAGAAAGGAACCGGTGGCCAAGGGGCTGATTCCAGGCACAACATTCCACATCATGATGGTGGAGTTGGTACCGGCATCACGCTCATGTGCTCTGCAGGGAAATCCAGAGTTGGCCCTCCCCTGCAGCCCCAGAAAGAGTGAAAATTAAGCCACAGGAAGGAATTTATGTTTTACGCCTTATTGTTGAAATTCAGGAAGAACTAAAAATCACACCAGGCTCTTGCCTTCTGCTTGGTTCATCTCTGCACACCCGTCCCTTGGTGCAGACCACTTTAAGCTTTGCATTATGGAGTGCCGTAAAAACCACAGCACGGCTGAAAACAAGCATGTGACTGGGTGTGCAAATGCTCGTTTCAGCTCCCCCGGGCGACTTCCTGGCTGTTTCCCTGCACATCTCACCTTCTGCCTCTCGTTTCTCTTACAGCATGCTGCCAAGGGACAAGGCACTCTACCTCACCTAAAACTCAACATCTCTTTTCGAGGAGGCTGAGATGAAGGACACTGGAGAGGGTCTATCTTACAGACTACCCGGAGAGGCACCGAGCAAGTCGTACGGACGAGAGAGCTACCACTGCACCTCGTCGCTGGCTTCGTTTCCAAGCTCTAAGAGCAGTTTTCTTTTATTATTTTTGAACTCTAAAGTCTACTTTCTGTGGAAGCCCAAAACCTCATAAATCATGAAGAACAAAAAAAAAAATAAAAAAATAAAATAAATAAACACAAAACCAACAAAAAAAAAAAAACAAACCTAAGGACACCATTTTTCTGCTTGCCATCAGCTTAGCTACAGACTATTTTCCTAGTGAACTGCTTTTAGACGCAGCATAGGCCCAGGTCTGGTGTCCTACAGCATTAGGCCAGCTCAGTAGGAGGATGCACTCTTTTGACTTGCTAACAGCACTAAACTTTGTGCAAGAAAATGTGAAGTTTGTGTGAATATTGTACATGCAAAGGCCTTGGATGTCTGGCGAAAAAAAAAATACAAAAAAATAAATAAAAACTATTGCTAGGTAGGTGGGGGGAGAGAGCAGAAGGCAAAATACGAGAGGAAAAATGTGAAAAAGATCATGAAAATATAATTTGTTGGATAGTTGTAAGTAGTTTACTAAGTGTTTTAGAGCTGTGCTAAAGACATCTTTAAGATTTTTTTGTGAAAAAAATTAGTAGTTTACTTTATAGTAAAAGCATTTTATATTAATTGTAGCACATTTTTTAGTTATACATAGAAGGGAGATGTGTATAAAAAAACCAACAAAAAAAAGCCTGCCAAACTTGTTTCTATTATTTGTACAGCAAGAAATGGACAATTTATATCCATGTTGTATGGCATTATTATATTTTTTCTGCCATATGTCCATCTATTTAAAAATTGCTGACAATGATTTTTGTCTATTTATGAAAAATTAGAGAGCATAATTACAGTTTCTCATAAGGTGCATTTTTGGGTTTTTTTTATTTTTTATTTTGTTTGACGGTGTTGCTTTCGCAGCACCTGGCACATTCGGTTCACAATGCTTATCTTACCTTTCTTTATAATAAAACATATGAAAAATAGAGCTGAAGCAGTCTGTCCTTATTCTGGGGGTCCATCCTGGAACCGTCCCAGCCAGCGAGGTCCATGCCTTGTCCTTGTCCTCCTCAGCTTTCCCATCCCTCACTCCTCTCCCATCACGTTCTCACTTGCTTTCTCTTTCTCCCTCCTTGCCCTGGGCCAATACTACTTAATTAATATATCTGCGACCACCCCCAGCAATGAACGCTATCGCTGAGCAGTGGCAGATAGACAAGCATTTTTCTTTCATTTTCTTGTAAAATGCCAACTTTGCACTCAGCAGAGGGTACTTTCCTTTCTCAAGCAGTAACTTGTTGCCCTATGCATTTGCTTACAAATCTATCCCATGCCCCAGCCCTCTCGACACTTCTCCCTTCTACCAACCCTTGAGCAGACAGAAAATGTCCTCACAGACATGGGGGTCATCGAGCTGCCTGGTGGCCACCAGCAGATGCCCACAAGAGCCCCATTTCCAACTTTTCTTAGGAAGCTTGGATGAGAAGGACATGAAAAGGATGGAAAGTTCAAATAGCATAAGGGTGGAATTGGCATTTCCAACCTTCCATAGTGCCTTCAAATGGCATAAAAAGTAACATTGCATCCAGCTCTGGTCTCCCCAGGACAAGAAGGACATGGAGCTGTTGGAGCGAGTCCAGAGGAGGCCACGAAGATGATGGGAGGGCTGGAGCACCTCTGCCATGGAGACAGGCTGTGAGAGTTGGGGTTGTTCAGCCTGGAGAAGAGAAGGCTGCGGGGAGACCTTAGAGCCCCTTCCAGTCCCTGCAGGGGCTCCAGGAAAGCTGGAGAGGGGCTGGTGACAAGGGCAGGGAGTGACAGGCCAAGGGGAATGGCCTGAAGCTGCAGGAGGGGAGATTTAGATGGGATGTCAGGAGGAAATCCTTCCCTGTGAGGGTGCTGAGGCCCTGGCACAGGGTGCCCCGAGAAGCTGTGGCTGCCCCTGGCTCCCTGGCAGTGTTCAAGGCCAGGTTGGATGGGGCTTTGGGCAACCTGGGCTAGTGGAGGGTGTCCCTGCCCATGGCAGGGGTGGGACTGGATGGGCTGGGAGGTCCCTTCCAACCCAAACCATTCCGTGATTCCATGAAATTTCACACATTGGGCCACCTGCCTGGAGGAAACCTGTTAACATACCATTTTAAGCCCAGTTGTCTCAGCTCATTGGGTCACCAGCACATGAGCTACTGTCATTTAGATACGGCCCAATTTCTTCCAGTGTGCATTTAACGTGAAGCTGGGGCATGGCTGTGTTTCCCATGTGATTTGGGGCTTCGGCCTCGTTCAGGTCCAAATGCCATAGCTAAGATCCTATTTTTCTCCACTGCTACCCATCTATGATGAAAGTGGCCTTAACATTTATATTCTCCAATGACTTGAAATAACTTTTTTAAGCTTTCAGACCATGTTAATAAACCAGGAAAGAGCTCACCCTTCAGAGTTAAGGGTTTTTTCTGATAAAGTAAATGGTTGTTTTCATCACCCAATGATTTTACCTACACTACAAAAACTTGCTGCCATGCCCTGTGCCTGTTGCACTAAGTCCCCATTAGAATATCAAGCCTCAGCTCTTGCTGGCCCACAGGCCACTGGCCAGGGCAAGTAGCATGTGGTGGGAGTTGTCCTGCTGTGTCCTCTGGCCTTAGCATCATCCCACACACCCTGTTGCCACATCAAATAAGACCCACCCCAAAATCTCACCCAGAAGGTGCCTGCTCTGGGTGGGACAATGAGAAAGACTTTCTGAGATGGAGGGGTGGTTTGGGGCATGGTGGGTTTGGACCAAGCAGTGCCCAGCAGACCGCCCTGGATGGAGGTAAAGACACCATGACAAGGGGCAGCAAGTCCCTGGAGCTGCAGGACCCCGCAGAGGCTTGCAGAAATCCAGGCAAGTCACAAACTCCTCCTGCAATCAGCCTGACATAAAATCTATGTTCTCCTCCACTTCTGAGGCCATCACAGTGTTATTGCAAGGCAATTGAGTGGCAGTCCTCTCTGCTGAGAACATTTGCTTTCTCGGCATGAGAGAGAGACGTGAAATCAAGATGTAACTCTGTGAATCAACTTTCATTAGAGCAGTTACACTTTTAACCCCAAGCTTCCTGCTCTCTGCAAGTATAAACAGAAAAAGTGCCTGTTCCTTTTCCCATTGACCATGGTGAGTCTGTATTTTATTCTGGTATAAGCACAGCAAAATCTCACCAACACAAGCAAGGAGAGCTGCTGGATAAAGCTAAAAATGTGGGACTCTTCCTCGCTCGTGGCCAGCATAAGGCCATGAAGGTCCCTTTTTATCTCTGTAATCTTGAGACATTTGAAAATAAAACGAGGAGCATCATAGAACTTCCTGAGGAACAGCATGAGCAATAACATCTCAGCCCAGCTTGGCTAGCTAGTGGTGAGCAGGTAATTACTCTGCAATATCAGAGCCAGGAGCTTTCTTCCAAATATGCAATTATTAAAAGGAGGGAGAAGGGGTGGGGGGGATGGGGAAATAGGGCATTAAGATGAAAGTCTACCTTGAGTTAGTACAGCAAGGAGATGGGACTTTCTGAAATGTTAAGGTTTTTTGTGTGTAGCAGGTAAGTGGCCTTGAGACTCTGAAATCACAGGGAAGAGGTCTCCAGCCCTGGGAGGAGGTCTGGAAGAGGTCATCACTGGAAGCGTTGCATTATACCATGTCCCTGTGCTTTCTCTTTTCTGAAGGAAGCATCCATGATGCCCAGCAACCCCATGGGCCTGCGCCCCAGCAGGCATCTCCTGGCTGCCTCATCTTTGTGTCGCTGTGACAGTGGTTTTGAAGCCATTTGAAAGCCTTAACTGAGAAGATCTCCTCTGTTCCTGGGACCACAGTGCAGAGAGCCATTGATAGGTGACTGTCCCAATTTAGGATTAACTGTGCAAAGCAAGAACCACACTTTTAATGACTTTCCAGCCATCCTACTTACATTTCTGCAGCGCTGCCCTGCTGCCTCTGCTTATCTGCAGGCAGGCGGTGGCAAAGGGCTGGTGGCTGCCCTGGGGTGGCCATGGAGGGCACAGTGACCCATCTCCAGCCATGGGAGCCACCTCGGGGATGCAGGGCAGTTGGCTATTATAGAGCCTGCGGCATTAATAAGAAATTGTGAGACATTCCAGACCACTTTAATCTCTACTAATCTCTAAAGTTGCATGATGGCAGCTGTGCTTAAATGGTATTCCAGCTGTTGGCTAATTGTTGTGGACCTGGAATTGCTCCAGGGAAGCAACTGGGAGCCGAGCCTCCCATCCACCATCACGGCTGGCTCACACAATGCATCCAATCTCCGCTAACGGGTTCAGCCCCAGCCCCATGGGCAAGCAAGGGCAAAGCACCCAGGGCAATGGGTCAGGCAGCGATGGCATTGCCAGGTGAGCCTCTCCTTGGTCTGAACCCTTGCTCTGTTATTAACATCAGTAGAAAATGTGGTAGCTGATTCTCGAGAAGCCATCCGATCGGGTGGCTCTTCCTAAACCCTGCCTGTGTGCCTAACCTCCCTTTAAAAACCTTTAAATTCCAAGCAGATAACCTAAATCTCTCTCCCTACAAAGCAAATCCCTTGCTTTTGAACAGAGGGAAGAATTTATTGCTTTCCTTGTTGTGGTAATTTTTTCCATATTTGAAGAAGGATATTGGCTCCTCCTTGCCTCCTCTCCTCCCGCCTGAGCAGTTGCAGTTGTGGAGGTCGTGTTCCCAGGCAGGACGAGCTGCAGTGCTTCCACTTTTAGTCAATAAGCACCAGCTAGATCCTCGAAAGGCTCCGAAAGAGCTCTGGGGCAGGGGGTTCGCAGGGCAGACGTGCTCTGCCGTGCCACGGGGGAGGCAAGACCCAGGCAGGTGTTCCCAGGCATCAGGGCTAATGACGGAGAGGGAAATTAAGAGGCACGAGCTGGGAGAGACCTGGCTAATTGACTTTGGTTTATGAAGACGTAATTATCGGCGCTGTAGGATGTAATGGGGAGTTTAACAAATCTCATCAGCAGGATGTCAGTGGTGTTAACCCTTTGAGCACAGGGACTCAGCCCTCTGGGCTAGTCCACGCAGCCCCAGGTGGGATGGGCATGGGTGCCTCCGGACAGAGATGCCTGGCTCGCACAGGAACGGGGACACCAACCAGCATCCCGCCGGGATGCAGCCTCCCGCACACCCAGGTGTGCAGGCAGAGCCTGGTCTTTGCCTGCGGTTTGGCCTTAGGCAGCACCCTGAGCTGCGCCCACGGCACAGGGCCATGGCCACAAATGCCCCGGCAGCGCTGGGAGGACAGTTTGTCCTCGTTACATCTGTGTTATTATTATTAAGATGATGGAATGGAAGGAAAAACAGTCCTGACAAGCAATATTGAGAACTTTACGCAAGAAGGATCAAAGGCAAGGACTTCATTTGACA